GTTTTCCCTTGTATATGTTGTTGTGTGTGAGATAGAAGAGCCAGATCATCTGCGGAATCCAACCCGTCCAGCTACATCTCAGCTGTTCACTGTATCCCGTTCTCCCATCAGATGACCTTCTCACATTGAAAGAGTCTGTGAGCTGTCTTCCATGCACAAATTTTAGTTTAATTTATCATAAGAATTTCGTATGATGTCGACTATCTCCTCAGGTACACTAGATTCAGAGAAACCTACGTAGTGTTATCCTGTCCATGCTATCAAATGCTCTCTCGTAGTCAACGAAGTTGATGTATAGTGGTGAGTTTCATCCAAATTACTATTCCATCATGATCCGTAGTGTAACCTGCAAGTTGGTTGGTGAACGATCAATCTTTAACGAATCCAGCCTGCCGATCTCGATTTTATGCGTCTGCGGAATCTCTCATTCTGTTCAATAGCACTTTGTTGAAGCCTTTAGCTGGTATAGAGAGTAGATTGATACCTCTGTGTTTGTCGTACTTGCTGAAATATCCTTTCTCTAGTATCTTGATGAGGTTTACTTCTATCCAATCTGTCGGTACTGGCTCTTCATCCCAAATCTCGCTGAACAGAGCGTGCAACATCTTTGCAGCTGCTGCCATGTTTCTTTTCAATGCTGTTTAGTGCTACTGCTTCGACTCTTTTGACTCGTCTGATGGCCATGCTGACTTATTCAATTGTTGGTTGGCCAACATTCTTTAGGAGGTCCGTGGATGCTACTTCGATGATGGGTGGGTTCAGTGAGGTCGGTCTACTCAAGAGTTCCTCGAAATGCTCTACTCACCTGTTTCGCTGTTCTTCAAAGTCGCTGACTACTTTGCCTTCGGTGTTCTTGACTGGTCATTCTGGTTTACTGTATTTTCCAGTGAGCTTCATCGTTGTATTGTATAGTCATCCGATGTTTCGTTATCATGAGGTTTTTTCTGATATCATTGTTAGATCTACTACATACTTCCGTTTATCAGCTGTAACGCTCTTCTTCACTTGCTTGTTCGCTTCTCTGTATTTGACCTGTGTTATGGTTTTCTCTGCTCTTGTTGCATAGTTATTGATTGCTGCTTTCCTGTTGTTTCTTTCTTGAATCTCATCTAGAGTATCAACAGAGACTCATTCCTTGTGACGGTGGTTGTTGTGGTTCATGACACGCTGAAGGTATAGCTTGCTTGATCCCTTTCCAATTGTTCTTCATGATAGTTTCCTATTCATTGAGTAGATCGTGAAAGACTTGTAACTTATGCTGAGAGATATCTTGAATTTGTTGAGTTTGTCAGTATTCCGAATAAATGCCGTATTCAACGTTTGTGGCGTTAAACTTTCGTTATCTTCGATTTCCCGTATATCTCCGTCTTGATGATCGCTACGAGAGAACACGAGTCGTTGCCACAATTTCTTTATTATTTAAATTATTTAATGATCGATACAAATATCGGATTTAATTCAAATATGTATAGTCGGTATTGACATCGAATTATTCAAACTGTTAATCGATACAGCTAGTCAAATAACTATATGTGTAGGTGGCAAGTAATGCCCAAGCGTACATGCGCATACAAGCTCAACAATGATAAAAGTACAAGATATATGTGAGGTGCTACAACAGCTCCCTCCCAGCAAACAAGGATACAAAAGTGTCTGTGAAATTCCATAATCTACCTATTCCTCCTTTTCAAGTCACCGACCCACACCTATGGTTTATTAGGCTTGAAAATTACCTCTCGGTTAATTGCATTATTTTACAACGAGATAAATTCGGCTACGCATGTGCACTGCTCCCGGACGAAGTAGCTGAAAGAGTTCGCGATGTTTTAGCTAAACCGTACCCAGATACGCCATACGACGAATAAAAAACTGCAGTCATAAAGGCCGTCTCGTTGACCGACCAACAAGCCCTACACCAACTCCTCAATCGAGTAGAACTTGGTGACAAGACTCCGTCACAACTAAAAAATTATATCAGGACCATAATAGGCGACAGAAAGATGGATGATAACATGTTTTATCAATTGGGTCTCCGACGACTCCCGCAAATTATTCAGCAAATCCTAGCAACTGAAGATAAGGAAGTAGATATAGATCATATTGCGGAAACAGCTGATAAGATCTACGAAAGAATGGAAACACCAAGTCCACAGATACATCATACCACAGTTAAAACTGAGATCGAAGATTTTAAAAAAGAGATTCGCCATTTATCTCAAAACGTTTCCAAGCTAAATCTGAAAGGGAGACCAGAAAGACGATCACGAAGTAGGTCTCGCGACAAATCTCGATCACGCACTCCAAAAGGAGTGGCAGTCTTGTTCATAACCAACCCGGCAGTAGCTGATACAGGTATGATCAGAGTTCAGGCCTGAAATTCAGATGGATGACACTACGTAGTACGGCGTTTTTGAAAAATTAATGAGCTCGAAAGACTTCAATCTTTCCAGAAGTACTAATCTCTAAGGCATAATTTCATCTGGCAAATTTAAAGCATCCCCCATGGTCAAGGAATAGACCCCTTCCCGCGCAATTTTTTTATGACTTACCCGGGAAGATAGGAGCCATTAATTTAGGTGGGACAAGTAGTTGACATATATCCTAAAGAACTACAGTCAGTCAGATGCAACGTAGGACTTCGTACGTAAGTACATCAGTTCATGTTGCCATACAACATCAGCACAGAGATATAATTGTCAATTCAAATCCAATAGTAGAAGAGGTAGTAAGGGAATTAGAAGTAATCGGAGAGGTTAGGATGAGAAGATATTATTCAAGAAGTATGATTCAGTGAGAAAAGTTTAGAAAATCAAAACTAGAGGGGTTGAAGAATCCGGAATTTGATAGAACACAAAGAGTGGATGCACCTGCGCCGTTACAAACGATTTTGAGCCATGTCATTCAAGGTGTCTAACCACCGATTATTATCATCTCGCGGACCCCAACCAGGTAGTCAACAACTACCAACATGGCTCAGTCCACTTGTCAATGAGTTCATGGAATTCTGACATGTTTTGGTTTGATCACCTCTAGCTATCTTCCAACCTACTCCTACACCACAAAACAAAGCTCGTCGAGGCAGTCGGTGGTTAGGCATACGCAACACATGTCCCAACCACCTCAACTGATCAACATTCACCACTTAATCAACTGATTTGCCATCCTTACTTAGTACTCGTTTCCTAACGACAGCATTGCTTACTCGGACGTCCCAGGATATACGAGCAATGCTTCGGAGACACCTATGATCGAAGAAAAGCAATCTACAAATGTTCTCTACTCTCAATGACCATGTTTCGCATCTGTATAGTATGACGGCGCGAACTGCTGCGCAGTACACCGGTCCTTTGATTAGCAAAGGGATATCTGGCCTTCACCATAAGTGAAGCAAGTTGGTTAAAGCCAGTCGAGCTTTTGGTATGTGCTGAGATTTCGTCAGCCACCAGACTCCCGAGATAAGCGACGCTGTTTACACGCTCGACCGCATCACTCCCTATCACTAGTTCAGGTGCCGGTGAAACCCAATCTTGAAGCAACATTTTGCATTTCGAGGGGGAAAACCGCATCCCGAACATGCTCGCATTGTTGCTTAGGGTGGTCAGAAGACTGCACTTTGTCAGCGTCTTCACCAAGTAGGACAATGTCATCGGCATATTCTAAGTCAATAAGAGAGCCTCCTGGTAAAAGGTCTACCCCTGAAAATTCAGACGAGGATAAGGTTAAATCTAGGAGCATGTCTATGATAAAATTAAGCAAGAATGGAGTGGACATCGCTGACGGACACCACTAATGAACTACAGATACAAGTAGAAAGATGAACATGATACTTGCCATGTTCACTGGTATTGTGAAATTCTCAGTTTATGATATTCTGAATGAGGCATATGGCTTGCCGACTCAAACTTCTCCCCGCCCTTAAGGACTTGCGACGGTGGGTTATTTGACCGACTATGAAACGGAAAACAAAAAGGCTGATACGGTTGGCCGTTCGAGGTGCTTTATGAAGAGCGCGATATCACAAGTACTTAGAGTTTGCTAGTCGGTGACACCATTAGAAACCTGGAAGCACTGGACGGCCGTTTCGTCCTGGTATGGGACTCATCAGCAGTGCGTATCCACGACTCCTGCACCTCGCAGGATTCGAACTCGGAACCTTCGGTATTGTGCGTGAACGCCTAACCATCGGACCACTGAGCCGGCATCCAACGGTGTTAATGTCTAACTCTGATTGATCTAGGGATTTTGCGCGACCTCACCTATTTGTCTTTGGTAGTTACTGCCTACACCCGACAGGGTCGAACTCCATTGGTCACGTCTTCTCAACTAGAACTCCGAGAATTTCCTCACGAAGCTAGTCACTAGTGAGCACTGTTACGATATTTTGGGGCACAGTTTTGATTGATGATTTCAAATGTGTAAAAAATCGCAAACCTCCAAAACTGTGCCCCAAAATAAAATCTTAGTGACAACGTAAGAAAATCCTTTATTTTTGAAATGCGACCAATAGGTGATATGGTAAAACCAGACCAATTTGAGAAATCTATCATGTGTGGAAACGAGAGTAACGTTCAAAAGGCAAATTATTTGAAATGTGACGTCAGCATAATAATATGATAAAGGAAATTTCAACTAAAAAACTCATATATCATGAAATATGAGTATGAACTTTGATACTTACACTAAAGGAATAAAAAGTTGGCGATCCAAAATAAGATATCAGAATCGTTCTTTAAAAGTCTGACGTCGTTTACTTCTCAGACTTCTTTATTCCTTTTGTGATTTACTTGGTTTCTAATTATTTTCTCGATATATCATTCCCGAGTAAGATAGTTTGAATTTATGTTGAAAATCTACTATGAATCAGTCTATCAGTAGCACTTATTACCATTTAGATTTAGGCCTATGTATTGCAGATTTTTCTTGTTTAATATTATATATAAAATATGTTTAACTTTATTTAGACCCAACAATTCGATCATCAATAGACAAACTCCAATACACCAAAACTAAACACATCTGAGTGAATTCATATTTATAAAGAAATTTCTTATGAAAGAAAAAAAATTACATCAGTAGTAATACATTAATATAAGGAAGGTTTAACAATGTATATATAATCTAGCTCAACGATAACTGGGATAGCCACGTATGATATACAATGGCCTGTACAAATATACAGAAAATGGCAAAAAATCACATGACCTCACCATTAGGGAAAAAGTGAAATAAGAAGTAGACAGTGAAATTAATACAGAATGAATTAAAAGAATCAAAAGTACTATTTACACATTTTTCGCAGTGAAAAAAAATAACAAGTAGTAGTGAGAACTCACAGATAATTCATTAATCAAATTCATATTATATATACATACATCTGAATAAGAAGAAAGTTGAAACTCAATACAAGTATTTCAAGAGAAGTCAGCTGAAATATAGATAAATGGACAACAATATTTAGTCCTAATTTAACTTCTGCTGGAAAACTGTTGAAGGAATGAATTCCTGTCGAACAAGATGCTGTTTATTTGGCATATTAGGGTAGTCAGAAACAGAAGATGGGGTGTTGGCAACATTAGCTGTTTGACCAGGCCCTAATAACTGTGATAGCATCACAGACGAATAGTGAGGAGAAGGTTGGACTGCGCGGTTAGGACTCATACCAGAAGAATTAACAAGACCCATGGAAGGTATTGGGAGGTTGTTTGTACAACGTGGAAGTGGTGCCATTTGTGGCATTACGGTATTAGCACATCGAGATATGTTAGAAATAGGAGGTGAAATAGGGATTTGATTGGTCATAGGTTGAGACATATTTGTCTGAGCCATGTAGCGTTGAGGAGAATTAGATGCTTGGGTTGAAGATATATTTGTGCAAGGAGGTTTACCTACTTGTTGATGACAAGGAATTGAAAACTGTTGATTAGATTGTTGATTAAAACTGGGAGGACTTATTGCTTGGCGATAACGAGGTTGTTGTATGGGCACAGACGACCAAGATTGTGACTGGTGTGACTGAGGATTTCCAACAATCTGCTGTTGTTGAACTTGTGGATAAGAATACCTAGACTGAGGTAAAGAACGTGGTCCAGTAGCTGACTGAGAATTTTGTGGAGTCTGACAAGCAGAATACGTACTGTGTTGTTGAGTCCCCATAGGACAATGAGGATTAGAGGTATTGGGAATACACCCGGACATTTGAGATAGCTGTTGTTGTTGTTGTTGTTGACTGTGTAGATGTGATTGCTGAATATACTGCCACGCTCTCATATATTGCGGATTGGAATTCAACCAACTTGAAAACTGCAATGGAATAGAAACCAAAATATATTCGCAGTGTACTATGAGAAATAAATATGTAAATCCTCATAGGAAATAACCCAGAATACGATCGCAATTGTCGAATGTTTCATCCTTATGCAAAGTATTTATATGATTAAATATCATACAAACGTTAACATGAAGACGGTATGTGAAAAAACTGTAGTAGCAAACAATAAGGTGAAGTCAACAGCTAACGTTCGATTTGAAAACCTTAGACTCTACACTTATAATTATTTCGAAACAATTACACGATCATCGTATTTGGTTAAAAATGATTACTTTTTGGAAGTTAGTTTCCGTCACAACATCAATGAGACAACTAGATTATCTTATAACTAAGTTTTATATACCTAATAATATGTATACAGTACAATAAGTTGAAAAGATCGATCAGATATACTACAGGATCTGTGTTTGTGCTATGAGAATCCGACTTAGAGTGCAATATGAATATATACTAATTCTTTATCGAAGACCATCCCAGTGATAACTAATAGTAAAGAGTCAATAAGACTAAAAACACATAGTAAACGAGTTTTAAGGGGAGACAGACCGACAATCAAGTACTTTACAGCATCATATCTTGTTTTAGTCCTGAAGTTGAGTTTATCTTTCTACGCCAAATATCAGCATTGGTGAATGGTCAATTATTCGAAGATATTTGTGATCGCATATTTACCGCTGCGTTCCCCTAATATCGAGCGTCACGGTTTGGAAAAGCGCCGCAGAACAAAGAAAATTAAGACGAACACCTAAGTGAATATTTGGATGCTTTACTTACGCTAAATTACATGTAAGTTAACGATTTTCCTTGTTAAAAAATCCAACCAAGTCTAAAGTACTTCAGGGTTTGCAGTCAGTCAGTTACAACGTAGAACTTCGTACGTAAGTATATCAACTCAGTTTGCCATACCGCATTAGCTCCAAGACGCAAATGTCAGTTCAAATTGCACAGTGGTAAAGATAGTAGGAGTATTAGCGGTGATGAAGAAGATTAGGATTAGAAGATATTATTCAAGAACTATAATTCAGTGAGATAAGTTTAGAAAGACAAAGGTAGAGGTGTTGACGAATCCAGAAGATTAGAATTTGAGAGAACACAACGAGTGGATGCACACGCGCCGTTGCAAACGATTTTGAGCCATGTCATTAAAGGTGTCCAACCACCAGTAACTATCGTCTGGCGTACCGTAAACAGATAGTCACTCTTCAGTGACTTCATGGATTTCTGCCATGTTTTGGTTTGGTCACCCCTAGCTATCTTCCAACCTACTCCTACACCACAAAACAAAGCTCGTCGAGGCAGTCGGTGGTTAGGCATACGCAACACATGTCCCAACCACCTCAACTGATCAACATTCACCACTTAATCAACTGATTTGCCATCCTTACTTAGTACTCGTTTCCTAACGACAGCATTGCTTACTCGGGCATCCCAGGATATACGAGCAATGCTTCGGAGACACCTATGATCGAAGAAAAGCAATCTACAAATGCTAGCTACTCTCAATGACCATGTTTCGCATCTGTATAGTATGACGGCGCGAACTGCTGCGCAGTACACCGGTCCTTTGATTAGCAAAGGGATATCTGGCCTTCACCATAAGTGAAGCAAGTTGGTTAAAGCCAGTCGAGCTTTTGGTATCTGTGCTGAGATGTCGTCAGCCACCAGGCTCCCGAGATAAGCGAAGCTGTTTACACGCTCGACCACCTCACTCCCTATCACTAGTTCAGGTGCAGGTGAAACCCAATCTTGAAGCAACATTTTGCATTTCGAGGGGGAAAACCGCATCCCGAACATGCTCGCATGGTTGCTTAGGGTAGTTAGAAAACTCAGCATTTCATCGTCTTCACCGAATAGAACTATGTCATCAGCATTTGCCAAGTCAGCAAGCGTGTCTCCTGATACAAAGAGTTCTTTTCTCTTCTTTCTTTAAGGTTTGCTGATAAGAAAAACAACATAATCATTTTGATTTTGTTATCCAAGCTTCTGTGTTATCTTCGAGCGTAAGATTATTTATGATATACTTCAAATGTAATTGTGGTAAGGTATATGCTCGGGACATTCTACAATTAGAAAGATAAGGCATGTCCTTTCCAAAAACTGGGTTTATAATTTAGACGATTGAGCATAATAGTTACCAGAGACTTTAATGTTACCACACTGGAAATATGGTTAGAAATACACTAAATAAATTTGGTGAGAGAGATAGGTTTTATATAATCTTAATTTATGTATATCCATTAACCAGAAGTATGGATAAAAGTCTTTTAAAACCACTATGTAGTTACAAAGAAAAATAATGCAGATTATTCGGAAAATAAATCTTAGCGCCTGAACAGTCACAATAAATGTGAATAAGTTGAATACAGGAAACTATTTTTAAAAAAATTGTTCAATAAAATATTGAGAAATATGTTTTGAAATTTTATTTATTCTAATCAAATAAGTGCTAATCAATATCAATTGAACTTTCATAATAATAACAATAAACTTAAATTAGCAAACATGAAATCCATTAGCTTTTCAAATACAAACTATTTATCGAAAATCAAAATGTCATACATTGTAAATTAACTTTCTGGTAGACATAAACATTTTTAATGAGCTTAATGCAAATTGTATTCTTGACTATAATACGACAAACTAGTTAGAATAATAATGTATGACTGTAGAAATATGAACGCAGCTTAATTATTCGACGAAAAATTGTTTCATAATAATATTTTGGTGATTTGATATTACAAAACTGTATCAATCTCGTAATAAGTGTTATAGAATAATATTAAAAGATTATGGATGGTTGATCCGATTGTTAGATGTAAATACAATAAGTGTATTTTAAATTCTATATGGTTAACCAACTTAACATTTTAAAATCCATGGACAATATTACAAATTATTACCAATAATTTCGGTTTATTGCTGCTCTTATATGTTCATTCAGGTGCATAAATAAATGCGATACTAACATCTAGCAGCTTTTCTAACTCATGTACCTCAGGTTAAATGGATAGGAAAGTTGTTAGCATAAACTCAAACAAAAAGCTAAACAACTTACGGGAAATACAGAGCTTAAACTGACATTTATTATTATATCAAACTTCAATCTGATATAAGAGTATCAATATGAACCAAAGAATTTGTGCAAAACTATAACACGAATGAATAGACGCAACTTTGAGTCACTTTTCAGAAATACTAACTTGAAACACTTAAGGGAAGTATTAGATCAACAAACCCAACGTAAACAAAGACTGAGAAAAACCCCACCGCAAACACAACCAATGCATTGCATGACATTTAACTAGTTAATCTCTCGGTTAGGTTCAAAGGAATAAAAGAACTTGATGAACAGTAAATATAACAGTTGAATTAACCACTGAAATATAATCGAAAATGTATCAAAATTAAAAGGGATATAAAATAGATTTACCTCAGACGCCGGAGCGCCTCGCTGCCTCATGGTAGTATATGCTTGTTGCACGATCCGTATATACTCTGAGGAGACGCCACACGGAACAACAATACCAGTGTTGGGCGAAGTTGTGGATACCATAGATTGAGGCGTGGATTGTATAGATGCAGACCGAACAACTGATGTATTTGGCTGAGTAGAGCCAGCGGATGATCCTGATGGATACATAGTACTGCCTGGGGGTGCAGTTCCAGGCAGTCTCCAATTAGGGTTGGAAATAGTTCCCAATGTAGACGTTTGGTTAGGGGGTAAAAGTGTTCCGGGATTGTGTCCTTCAATAACTTGAGAATAAGTTGGTGAAGGTTGGTGTGTAACCGCTTGTTGCTGAGACTGCTTGTTGAAAATATAATTATTGTGTTCATTTTCTCCTTGAAATCGTTGACTTGATATTATTTGCTGTGGATACGATGGGTCAACATCCATAAGAGTCATACACGGTTGATGAATAATTGCTTTAGGAGACAATGGATCTACAGGAGCCGAATTAGTAGTAAATGACGGTCTATGTGCGACTGAATGTCCAGAAGTGGATCCATGTGATTGGATGCATTGTTGAGAAACAACGTAATTGGGGGCCCAATTGTTATTAACACATGTTGGTGGGCGTTCCTGTATATGCTGTCGCTGTATTTGTTGCTGAGTACTGAAAGATGTTGTAGGTTGAGCACAAGATAAGGAATATTTCGATTGAGGCTGAAAGGTATAACCTGTTCTGCTGATATCTACATGTGTGTTCATCAGCTGATCCGACTCTAACGTTACGACTGGGTGACTATGAATCCCAGAGGACTGAGAAAGGGTTTGAATGCAAGTGGAGACTGGAATAGAAGAAATTGATGGGGATCTAGGGATAGATGGACTAGATACATATACTTTTGATGAATGAGCAGTTTGCTGAGTATTTTGATAAGATGATGGACATGGAGGATGGAAAAACGGACTTTGCTGTGGAGATTGGATAGAAGATTGACTTCTCGAATGTGGAGAGGTAAGATTGTAGGAAACAGTAGTAACGGCTGTAGAAGCAAATGGTGATGACTGCATAGGTACAGACATAGGGGAAGATATACAATCAGAAGTCGAAGACTGAGAACATTGCTGATAAGTTTGAGATGGTGGTGGAGTTGGTTGATGATTAGGAGTCATACTGTTACAGCGCTGCATTGTGGCCATACGTCTGCGTAGCATTTGTGTTTGTTTGAGGCGTTGCTGCTTTTGCTGTTGTTTCATCTTTGCCTTAAGTTTAGGGCATAGAGGCACAAGACACTTTAATTCATGGCAAGTTTTAGAGTGATAGCAACATAAATAATAGATAAATCGACAAACAGAACACTGATTTCGATCTGTTGAATGGACGCGGAAATGTTGTACTTGATATTTCATTGTCTTACATGCATATACACGACAATTTGCATCACGACAATAACAGCTATGGCCTAAGGCTTTTACCCAACGAGTTAATTTGTCTCTTCCTGATTCTTGAATAGTTGAATCGTTACTTGTCTCTTGTCCTTTGTTACAATCATCAAGTCCAATACCTATTTTCACCATAGGATGGGGGTGGTTCTCGGTTTCATAGCATCGAGGACATAAGTCATATTCTATACATTGCTTACAATGCCATGGAGTTTCTAGTTGTGCACTACAAACATTGCAAGTGTACATTAGAGGTTGACGATTTTCGTTATGTAATTCATACAACATCACCAAAGTGGAATATTTAGCACGTCGTAACGATGAGAATTCCAAGTGCTTTTCACGAGCTTTTTCTAGGAAAGCACCACGACATTCCATTAACTCCGAGTTGATAAGTGGGTCTGGATCTTTAATTGGTGGAAGTGCAGAGACAGAATTTTGAGGATGCAACCGAATGACAAAAAAGTTTTCCTTATGTTTCTCCATTATTTCATAGACACGACGAGCAACTTCATTTGCAACATCTCCTGAACCAATACCACCCACGCGCTTTCGCTTACCCGTGATTGTTATAGAAGCACTACGTTTGAGCTTTCTACGTTTGGCCTTCTTCTTTCCCGGATTTTCATCGCTTTCTTTAGTCTGAACGTTTTCTTTAGCCTCATCATCATCATCGCCACCCCGAGCCATTGCTTCTTGTTCCTGTTTTCTTTTAGCGTCTTCTTCATCCATTTCCTGGAGAGAAGTTAAAAACAAAGAATATCTCCGTCAGATAAACTTACGACTTTCTAATAAATATAAATAAAACAACCAATATCCAACAACTGATTAGAATGTAATTTGATTGTTGGACCGAACTAGACCACAATGCTAACAGCTACCGTTGGAGAGGTTCCATTAAAGACTGTCGTTAGGTCTGAAGTACATGTTGCTAACCACATCATGCTCTAGAACGTAAGTACTTAACTGCAGCTTACGGTACGTAAAGAAGACAGGAAAAAAACCGCTCAGAGTTATGTGAAACAATAAAAAAACCAAGAGGGCAACTAGAAGTTAGCGATGCAGAGATGCCCACCCCAAGACAACTTGGAACGATATCCAAAAAGCTGTGGAAACTGCAATGATATCTGCCAGTAAGTTAACGAAAATCAATGAACTTCAGTATTATCTGCCGAAATGATAGATGCTCGGAAACTCATCCCGCTTGGCTCTGAACATGAGGAAGATCAAAATCAGCTTAAACACAGGCTGATAAAAAGCCTACACAATGATCACGAATAATGGTGGGTAGTGAAAGCGAAAGCGATGGAAAAGGCAGCCGCACTAGGTAACAATAGACACCTGTTCAGACTTGTCAAGTAGACCGGTATTCGAAATCTGACTGCCAGTGAGACTATCTTGGAAAAAGATGGGACTGCTATTCATTCACAAGTCATGAGATTGGATTGATGGACAGAATATTTTAGGCAGCAGTCCAACTGGCCTTCAACCACACTTCGGTTACCCACGATCTCCATTGGACCTGAATGGCAAGTTGGTGTAAGTCCTCCGATTTTGAATGAGGTTGGAAAGGTTATAGGAAATCTGAAACAAAGGAGAGCAGCAGGCCCTGATAGATTGACCACTGAGATTTTGTAGGCGTAGTGGTCCAGATTTAACAGTTAGATTGACTGAGATCTTAGCTAGAATCTAGCAACTAGATGTATCAATCACTGATTAACACAATATATAAAGAAAGACAAAAGTCCTTTCATGACAATCACAGAGGAATCAGTTCAACTAATATAGTGTCTAAAATATTGGCTTCAATAATGCTTCGACGCCTAACTAGAACTCGTGAAGAGCAAACTCGAGAAAACTAGGGCAGTTTCATACCTCGACGTGGATGTTTAGATCAGATATATACACTTCGTCAGCTCCTAAAAAATAGACACAACACGTCCGACAATAGATGTATTCCTCGACCTTAAGGCAGCAATTGATTCTGAGATTTTATGTCAGTGTTTGTCATTGAAAGGTGTACCAAAGAAGTACATTAACCGTGTACAAGCTCTCTACTCGAACACCACTGGTCGAGTGAGAGCTTATGACGAACTATCATCGGAATCGGTTACTTCAAGTGGTGTTCGTCAAGCTTCACCACTCTCTCCATTCTTACTCAACTTTGTCGTAGATATGCATTTAGAAATATCACTTTCGTCGTCTGGTTTTTCATGGGTTGAACTCTTACCGGGAGATTCACTGATCAACTTAGAGTATACCGATGACATAGTTCTGTTTGGTGAAGAAGCTGACAAATTGCAATCATCTGACCACCCCAAGCATCAACTATGGGATTTGAATTGACAATCCCATTTCTCTATGTTAATGTGGTATGGTGACTTAGACTGATGTCCGTACGTACCAAGTCCTACGATGTAGCTGATTGGCTGTTGGTATTATCTTTTGACTAGTAGTCATAATATTACATATGTCAAGTGATTTCAGTATCACGTTCTCTATGGATTTGTCTAGTCTAGAGGTTGCTTCACTTCCGGGTGGTATTTATGTCATAAAATTTCACAGTACGTTTATGTGTCTGCTGTATTTCTACCTGAACTTTTGGTTCGAATGCTATCCGTGGGTTGTGAGACGGTTGTCTAAAATAACAACAGTTTACTTTCATCAGAAACCAAGTGCAGGTTGACTTTACTACTTCTTAGTTAACGCAATGGTATAGCTGAATTTGAATATGTTTAACATTTAAACACCTGAAATTTATTTCAACTATAATAAACAGTTTCCACTATTGTGTATGGAGACAGATTGTTATCTTTCGACCGAAAGGAGACCGTACTTTTACTCACTCTTTGTTGTGAACAGTGAAAGATAATTTAAATGTTTGAGTTTGAGTAGTTGTGTGGGTTAGAGACTGTACAATTTAGTGGATTGAGACTTTATTAGATACGGCTCAGAATAGGAATCAGTGATGATTCTTCTGTAGGTTTCTATCATACTTTTCCATAATAGTGAGCTGAGCTTGACTGGGAATAGTTAATGGTTACTTTTCTAGTTGAACCATATCTCTCAAAAAATACCATCTTTTCTAATAACACTAATACTTCTACTACCAACACTACTGTGGGATTGATTACTTACGCCTGTTACCCCCAATGGAGTGTAGGCCGCCGACCAGTATTCTCCAACCCACTCCTTTTCCTGGCCTCCTTTTCCAGTTCTGTCCATTCATGTCTGTCTCTGTTCCTCTGTGTAATGTGTTTCTTGGCATTCCTCCATTCCCCTTACCTTGAGGGTTCCATGTGGGGGCTTGTCTTGTGACGCAGTTGGGTGCTTTTCACAGTGTGTCCTATCCACTCCTACCGCTTGTTCCTGATTTCCTCCTCCACTGGAATCTCCTTTGTTCTCTCCTACAATAGGTTGTTGCTGATGGTGTCTGGCTAACGAACCCGAGGTATTTTGCGTAGACAATTGTTAACGAATACTTGTATCTTGTGTATGATGGCGTTCGTAGTTCTCCAAGTTTCCGCCCCACCCATACAATAGAACTGTTTTGACATTTGTAATGAAAATTCTGACTTTGGTGTTTGTTGACAGTTGTTTGAAGTTCCAGATGTTCTTCAGTTGTAGAAATACAGCCATTGCTTTGCCGACTCGCGCCTTTACATCTGCATCGAATCCACCTTGCTCATCAATGATACTGCAAATAGTTCGGACACCATTGGCCTATCTCATATTGATTCGATAACCATAAAAAGTAACGGCAAATGAATGAAACTAAGCATAAGAATTTAGTCTGTCTATCACGAATGAAGTATGTGAAGATTTGACTGAGACGAGAAAATGTCGACCAACGGATTATTCATGTCTTAATTATTGCCAAGTCTGAATGTCGTATTTGTGTTCATTTTCTTGTATTAGAATCTTCAATGCCTTTTAACAGGAATGTCACAGCCGAACCTGAAGTTAGTAAGAGTTTATTTCCGTAAAAGAAAGTTCTTAAGATAAAAAGTATTTCCCTGGACATTGTTATCAGCAGTAATAACCATCTCATAACTCACAGATAGCATTCGAACCAAAAGTTCAGGTAGAAATACAGCAGACACATAAACATACTGTGAAATTTTATTACATAAATGCCACCCGGAAGTGAAGAAACCTCTAGACTAGACAAATCCATAGAGAACGTGATATTGAAATCACTTGACATATGTAATATTATGACTACTAGTCAAAAGATAATACCAACAGCCAGTCAGCTACATCGTAGGACTTGGTACATACGGACAGAGAGATGGGATTGTCAATTCAAATCTTATAGTCGTGATGGTAGTAGAAGTATTAGTGGTAATAGAAAATATTAGGGTTTGAAGATATGACTCAAGAAGTATAATTCAGTGAATTAAATTCAAAAACAGGGAAATCATGAGGAATTCAGAAGGTTAGAATTCGAGAGAACACAAAGAATGGATGCACGTGTGCCATTACAAACGATTTTGAGCCATGTTATTCAAAGTCTCTAACCGTCGGTCACTATTGTCTAGCGGACCTCGACCAGGTAGTCTACATCTACCAACATGGCTCAGTCCAATTGTCAATTACTTCATGAATTTGTAATATGTTTTGGTTTGACCACCCTTAGCTTTCTTCCAGCCCACTCCTACATCATACAACATCGCCTGTCGAGGCAGTGGGTCATTGTAACATTTAACAACGCGTAGACAAGCATTATTCGTCGACAGAACAACCCTCTAAATCAGTTCATAACAATTTATTATAAACCTAACTGAAGAGAGCTGAAAATTGTAATACGATAAAAATTGGATGGAGAAAAATAAAATTTCAGTTCAAATAATAAAAATGTGTTGTAAATCAGGTCTACTCATATTATCTATAAAATGACCTTCTGAAGATGTTTTGCGCAGCGAACGAATGAGTACAGTGATTATCCTCTGCTTTTATCTACAAATATATGAACCCATTAAAAATTTGTTGGATAATAGTCTAACTTGTTAAATAGATTTGTTAGGTTTCCCTACAATGAATAATATTAGGGTAAACAAGCATAGGTTTCCTACTCGATCAGCAAACAGAAAATTTAGGAATAGACAGGATAACTGAAGGAAAATCTGTAGTAACATAGTAAACGGCTTCAAACTCTAATATACGTATTTCAGGTATAAGTGATTGATAAAAAAAGTACTTAATCATATTTCCGATACACGATACCAAGAAACAAACTGAGGCAATTTTATTCTACATAGTGTAAATTCAGTTATAAATAGGTGGTAGATTATATAATACAAATTACGACTGTACAGTTACAGTGTAGACAAATATAATTCATTCAACATCAAGGAGCTTTACCTTAAATATTTCTTCCAAAGTGTTTGGCCAAAAGTCACCTTCAAAATAAGCAAGTTCAGCTGGAGAAATCATATGGGACTCATTAGCATCTTGACAGATATCTTTGTAATCCACTACAATGCGTTCAATAAGTGCCTTTTTAAGCATTTTTTGATACCATTCTTGTAACCTTTTAGGTTTAGGGATTTTCTGATCAGGTGGATGCATATGAAAAATGTAATCATCACCTTCGCTAGGCGGACAAGCCCATATATGAGCCATTGTGAAACCAAGTAACTTTGCATAATGAATGTAACCGACCAAAAGTTCATGATATATCTCCGTACGAAATTGTTTCGGACGAAAAAAATAAACGGAATCTAAATAAGCCACATAAACCCTTCTGGTGTTAGGAAGTGGGCATTCTGATCCATATTCCTGAACATGAAGACCAAAAAAACATACTTCCTGGCCATCAATCTCCTGAAACGCAAAAATTGCTTTCACTCTGTATGGGAAAGACTCAGGCATTTCTCCATTATCACAGAACCGAGCCTTCATACCAGATTTAACTTCAACAGTTTTATCTGCTGCCGCAAGAACGCGAATAATAACATCACCTGCATCGGCTTCTTTTTTCTTCAGAAAATCATTTACACGCTTTTCTAAGAAGTTGCTTAATTTGCATGTTGTCAGTTTCTTAGCTGTGAAACGATTTTCAACACGTTTTAATCCATAGTTCACAATACAGTGATTGCAAATAAAACCATCAGGCCAAATTTCTTCATGGAATATGGCACAAACTCTGTGCCACTTCCTTCCACAATGCTTACAAAAGACGAATGGCTCCTTTTCTTTGATATCATTTTTGCACTTTTCCATCAAACTCTTTTGAACATTCCTAAAATTGCAAATTCAAAATTTAAAGCAAACGCAACTTACACTGGGTTGCTGGAGTCACTGTCAAGAGCTATTTGATCCAAAGCTTCATTGTAACATCTCTCACACACTGTGTATTTTTGTTCCAAAAGTCCAGGAGTTTGACCACTATCATAATATTAAGATGAAAACTAAGGACTTACTCGCTCTTGTACACGTAATAAACAGCATCGCGATATATCGTACAAAACTTCGGCGTTAAACAGGTTAAGGTAGGTGGCTGATAATAATATTCTCTGCCACAGCAAAATCCGAGCGACTGCATTACAGGATCAATTATACTTTCAAACGTCTCAGCCAACTAAAGAAATAAGTGATCGTGGAAAAAATATGAAATTACCCTTGTACAGGTCTTGTACACCTTAGACGTCTTCTTATTATAGAGCCAGGCATTGTTAAGCATCAACCAAAAGTCATCAACTATTTCCCAGGGATCCTTATATTCTCGGTCTTCTAATTTTCTCCGTATTGTGGATAGATCCATAGGATCAGAAACTATTTGAGGATAATCATATATTTCAAGGAACTTCCAGTCCACTGGAGTCAAGAATGGTTCTGCATCTTTTTCTTTGCTTATTTTTAGTACAACGGGCAGAAAATGCTGCAAGAGTTCATTAGAATACCATATTCTTCGTCTGATAGGTTCCCGGGAAGCCTGAGGATCCGTCTTTTTTTCGTCTGAACTGGTGGGCTCGGTAGCATCAGATTCCAGATCAGTTTTCTCATCAATTTTTGTCTTTGTTTCGCTTTCATTAGGTTCTACGGACGCAACCGAACGACACTTAACTTCTGGTGAATTCGGATCTTCTTTATTATCTTTGTCCTCTAAAAGATCTGCAGAGTCAGAGGAATTCAGAGAGCTTTCTGCGGCAGCTTCAACTTTAATTTCCCGTTGGATTTGTTCTTCACGCTTGGATACGATTTCTAGAGCATCTGAAAACTGATCCTGTTCATAAGAACTAGTTTTCGATTTTTCTGATGAAATAGAATTTGGCAGGTCTGAAGGTTGTGTCACATCACAGATTTCCCCATTTTGTAGAGGTGGACAGGATTCCCTCAAACGACGTTTTTCTTTTAATTCAGAATGTATATTGTGGTAGTGAAGTGCCATCGTTTTGAAATATTCTTCTGTAGACCTAGATTTTACAAAAACGTCTTTTTCCATTCGTTTAACATAGTCAAGAAATTGCTTCATTCTGGGATCACTGTATGCAGTAGGATTTGCCGTTGGAAAAATCGACAAAGAAATGTCATTCACACTATAAAAAATGATTTAATGAAAAACTACAACTTACAACTTCTTCATAGCAAGTTCTCTCTGCTGATCGGTGATGCGATTTTCATGTGAAGGTACCCGACTGAACTCACCATTCAACACAACTGTTGGTTGTGATTCACAAGAAGCAGTTGTAAAAGGAGTCTTTTGTTGTGGAAGCGGAGAGTCTGATATCTTGATGCCGTTTAAGGATGACATATCAGATTTGTGGTTTGAACTGAGTCCATTCTGGGAGGAACCAACGGATGATGCTGATGACGATGTAGAGTTTACCATAGGTTTTCTGATTGCTGAACAAACCCGGCATTCCATATCTCCGCAAGAACGATAGTGTCGCATTATGTACTTGGACGAAATACAATGTGGAACATTACACTCCTTTTCTCGAGTACAACTCTGTAAATGAGGCAACAGGTTTCGAATTTCACCACAATTTCGATCCATACAGTTAGTTGTCATTCCTCTCCTTTCAAGGCGTTCACAATGATCAGCATGTAAAAGTAGGGCTAACTGCTGTTGCATAAGAACCATCTTAGCCTCTGTAGATAAACCTTGTGGACGGTCATTTGTATAGGTGACTTGATCCGTGGTCGAGCCTTGCATATTTACACCAGCTAAGACATATTTGATATAGAACAGTATAAGGATTCAGATTTACGTTAACAAGGTAAACATTTAGTTTAGTTTAGATAATAAATGATTAGCAAAAATAAGTTACAAAAGTGGTCATAAAGTCGAAAGCACTGACCGGATTGGTTTACAAAATATTAACTAAAAGATCAATGTATTCAGTTTTAAAGGGTCGAAACTTGATATTTATTAGTACCTAGAATCGCAGTTCGCCATACGATCAAGCACTTGAGGAAATGAGAGATTAGTGAAGAAAGTATGTTATCGTTAAAATACTTCTATATACGAACTCGTTTAATGTACGTTTCACACCTGGCACATATGAAATCAATTTCCACCGATAGTTAGTCAGAGATTAAGAAGTAAATTGATTAGTCGTGCAGAACATCACACTTTTAGGGAGTTATGTCAGTCGCGTTATTTCCGAGTAGCTCGATTGACTCTTAAGGAGTGAAGATATTGCTCAGTTTACTGTTCTGCCGTAGAGGTGTGAAACAAGACAGTTACAAATGGAGAGTAGGTGTACAGCTTATGGTGAACCATTATGGGAAGTGTCAACCTTCGCAGGCTGGCCAGGACTGCCAACTTTTAAAAAACTGATGTTATTTCTAGAGACACACTGGTTGGCTCTGAATACACAATGACGTTTTTGTCTGAGAATGGATGCCAAAATGAAGGGTTTTCCAAGCTTATCGGGCAACAATGAAAAGATGTCTTGGATGAATTTCCCTCACTAAGCATTGTTCTAGAACTGGTCCAATTAATACTTGCGGTGATCATGGAAAATCAGACAGTTTGGCGCGGTGACCACTTCACCGTCTCATTGAACCTGTTGACAAAACGCCACATCAACGTAAAAAAAATTTTCCGTCAACTCGTATCACCTGTGGTGTAAACGAAAAGTCCGGCTGCTAGGGGGGAAATCCCACTTGTTTTGTGGTTGTGAAGCACGGAATTAAAAATAGAGGACAGTCATAGATAACTAATATTTGGTCGAAAATGTCTTCAAAGCACTTCCTATATCTCAGTGAGTTGTAATAAATGCAGTGGTACAAATGCACGTGTCTAATTTGTTATGCAACATGAAGAGGGGAAGACTGAACTGACAGGATGACTAGCAAGTGTACCAAAACAATATTAATGTCGTTGAAAGAAAAATACCAAACACGTTAACGTGGAAACACCAAATAAACTAGAGCGAAAATGGGAAATCTCTCATATTCCATGCAGAAAATGATTGTACAGCTGCGGAGATGGGTTGTATTTATTACACGAAAAGTGAAACTTGTTAAAAGGGTTTCGGTTAGGACCCCAATAAACACGTGATGCTCCAGTATATCTAATTTGAAGGCCAATCTCTGCCAATGAAATCTAATACAGGAAAACGCATTTGAAATGAATTTCTAGATTTTAAACTTCACTAACTAAATAGACAAAAAGTGACGTCTTAAAAGCATTCAGATTATTGGACGGCCTGTTTCAATGGTTTATTTCTTCTTAAGGGTAAGCAAGAGTGGAAATACTTCGAAAACATGAAGCCTGGTTGTCTACACTGTACGATCATGTACTTTTTCTGAATGGTAACCCTCAGGGATCTGTTATGATTTTGGGGTTATAATAAACCAACATGCTGCTTAATAAGGCAGCTAAGGACTAGACCCATTATTCAAGGAGTCTTTCTTAATGATTTAGCCAAGAAAACTGTTGGAAATAAGTCGGAATTTTACATCCACAAGTCGCAAGATATTTACAATTACATTTTTGAAATCGATATTCCAAGTGAATAGTCAGTGGAAGACTGACACACCACTGAAATCTATCAAGACGATTCACACTAGAGGCGAAAGGTTTCACAAAGTAAGACATTAAAATATCATATATCACTACGACAGTAAAACTATATAATAGAGAAAGTAAAAGCGGTAATATATATCAAACACAGGGGTCAGATGATGCGGCATCCAAACAGCGATCGACTATACAAGTATATCACATTACTGACCGACAGACACTTGCTAATATAACCTGTTGGGAAGTCTTTAGTTAACTCATTATGAAATTTTCAAATATGTCGTAAAAAAATTGAAAAACAAGTACAGCTAATGACTATCTATTAGGAAACAAACTTACACATTTTATAATCATGGGTTTATTCCAAAGGGAAGAAAGTACAAAAGTCATTAAGAATAAAACAGGTTAAAACACAAAATATGGCGGTCATTTTTACAAAACCCGCTACCCATGTGAAGGTTCAAACAAAACGTTTCGTTTGGGAGTTGGACTGAGGCAAATTCAAATGTTGTTCTGTAAACCTGATTCATCACAACGTATTCATCTGTTAGTTCAGCAAATATATAAGGCATTTCAAAGAACTTTTGTATTATTGTTTGCAAAGGAATTTTTAAAGTCGCATTATCTGCCGGACTTTGGAATTCATTTCTACTTATATCGATGATCTGCCAAGAATTCCTTGGCTAACTTTTGTAGCGGTCGAGCATTTCGCAGATTTTATAGCCCCGTTGGGAACAGATTATGTGGCACCTTGTCAAATATATTTATGCAAATTATCCATCATCAAAGTCTTCATTGATCTCTCTCTGTTAGGAGTTCAGTCGTACATAGTGCTTCATTTCTGAAACCATCTTTTTCTCTATTCGACAAGCTGTTGGTTTATACCCAGATCATAATGGTCCTTGTAATCAGCCTTCCGAACGTTTTGACTGAGACAGTGATGGGGCTGACAGGTTTGTAGTTTGACAGAGGCTGCATTGATCATGTTCCATGTCCTTGATGCACTGTTTAAGTTAAATTTAATAATGAGTAGCCTATCCATTTCTCAACACGCTGTTCGCATTTGTAGTGGAACACTTCCACAAAAGAAACGCAAATGATGAAAACGAAAACATTTATTATGTACTCGTTTTGTTTAACTGTGCTAAAAAACACAGCGATTTTATGTATATCAGATAATGTCCGACGACTATCTGCGTAAATGCGAACACTGCCTCCGGTGTGAACTAGAATATGACATCGACAGGTCGCTCTCCCTCGAGAGTTATTTACCTGTCCATATGTTTTTTAATGAGTATATTTGGTACGCAAACCTGTGCAACAGCCTTACGAAGGATCTTTCCATGTGATCTCTCGTCACGAAAATACCATCGAGGTTGATGGACCCAGTTAGAATTAATCGTCTCATGTCAGCACACGTCAGTGACAGAGCCCTACCAGATAAATCAAAATTCAGTGCCGGACTCGTACAACCCACTAGCGAGATCCCTATTTCTCTTTCGCATCCCACGCAGGATATATCAGAGACCTCATTCTCATGTCCCAGTTAACAGCATGCGTCTTCTGCATTATCGACGGATGGGACTCCGGTCTCACGTCCAGATCAGTAGACCAGGCCGCCATTGATTTCGAATGGGATTGCTGGCTCACGAGGTACGCGAGAGACTACCACCTTGCGTTTACGTCGCCACATACGCTTACCTGTACGCTTTCGCGACTAACCACCCAATCAACAATGGATACGGCATAGGACATTATCCTCATACTACACGCATGCTACACCTTTCTCTTTTTCTTTCATTTTTTGTCCTGAGCCCACATCTACGACCATTACCCTGTGGTTACCGTCGACTTCAGCCAATTTTGGCGAAGGCTGGCCTGATCACCCACGCCCTTGTCAACGAATATATCGGGCATATGTACGGTTTCAAACTTGGTCGCTTCGGTCGTTTCTGACCACTCTGGTGTGGCATGACAACTCGAGCAGCAAACCTGACACGTTACTACTGGTACAGTTCAATGTAGAAGACTTTCGGTGACAACTCGAGCTTAATTGGTCGCTTCGTGTTCCCCAACCCCTTAATATTTATATTGCGCTATACCATCTTTCACAAATCGATTTTTTCACTTGCATAGTTAGATACATTTTTCTGTTTGTTTTCGTCACTGCAAAAAAACCTATGAAAAAGATTGTCATGATTAATTTTATCAAAATTAATTAATTAATATATGCACATGAATAATAATGATAAATCTTATTTTGAACAATTAATCTGCTTATTAAATTTAGATAGTATAATCAGAAGTCGAAGAATATCAGAACGTACACTTCTTGAGAACATTTATAAATCAAATTCATTAAGAAATCCTTAAGATTTTACTGTGCCTTCCTATTACAAGCAGATCTGGACAATGATACTTAAAAAGAGCTCACGCAGGAAATCTTGAGCTGTTGAGTTAAAAAAGAGAATAAATAAAATATCACAGATTCATCAGATCACTGTGCCTCATTATTATATTCTGTACTTCAACATTATTGATGACAATTTGGTTTCTCTGAATTTCCTCTATTATTACGATTGATAGACCATTCGTTATCTTACGAGTGAATAGTCTTCATTAAGTACAGGTGTACAGTTAGTGTTCTAATTTTAAAAAGTATATTCTGAGTCATTGTTCGGCTTTAAACGAGAATATTCTCTGTCCTGCTCTTTGCCCCATTATTTATTTATTTATTTCATTTTTTCAGCACCTTATTCCAATTCTTAAATATTACACACTTGAAATCATTAATCAATCATTGTTAAACCACCATTAGAAACCTGGAAGCACTGGACGGTCGTTTCGTCCTGGTATCGGACTCACCAGGGCCTGGGACATTGCACAGGGTAGAATAATTAATACCAAATCTTCTCCGCAAAGTTCCTTCACACCTTTACAGACAGCAATAATAATTTGTAACAAAATTAGCGCAACATAGCAATACGTTAACAACAACTAAACTCCAGCTTCCACCAATTATGGAAAATATCCAGGATGTAAATAAGGGACAAAACTGGTTCTCGTGAACAATAACGATAGTATTCTATAAACAAGCTTGTACTAATAACTGGATAACTGGTATCAAAAAATCGTGAAGACTGGCGGCAGAAACAAAACCTACGAAAACCGTAGAAACTCGAAAACCATTCATTCACATTTTGTGCTTCCGTTTAGGTACAAATTATGCGCATTGAAACTCCGGTAGCCGCAATTAAATGAAGTGAAGCACAACGAAGCACAATATCCATAGTGATTCTGAGAACGAACCACATTCAACTGTCGAGGCATCGATTTGATTGGTTGCCAAGACAAATAGTGGGCAAATGTGATATACTCTTGCTCCAAAGTTGACATTTACACGTCGGTTATGTTATCCTCCAGTGGCAAATAGCAAATTCTATCTATGTAAATTTTCAAATTAATTTGGTTTTCGTCCACAAGTTAATATATTTACACCAAGTTTTCGTTCGCCCGTCTACTATCCGTAACTATGATTTCACCTACGCCATGGTGGCCCAAAAGACGTGAATGTTTCTACATGCGCTTCATAATCAAACCTGATATAACCGGTGATCTGCCCAAATTTATTTGAACATTTAATTTGGAAGCTTAATTAACCGTTCTTGTAGCCACCCTGCACTGTCACTGCTAGGAGTTAGGTTTCGGAAAATGCGAGCCGGTAGTTTCTGTGCTACTAAGTACTGCTAGACGATCTCGAGTATTTGCATTAATAATAATAATAATAATAATAATTGGGTCAGTTAGTTTTACCAGAGAAGTCACTTTGAAAACTACTTAACAGTTAGATATGATGTAAGACGTCATCAAACGTGTAATGGGTCTGTAAGTACTCCACAGTTACTAGCCAAAACTGAAAGTTTGAGTTGGCTGGATTTGTGAAGCTCACTTACATTTTTCAAGCAAGTTCCGTATTACTACAGAATCACAAACAAGGCTTATCCATACCAGGCCAGCTGGTGAAAATGACCCCCAAATTTAGAAATGGTTATAACAACTGGCATCTGAACACGACAAACCCTCCCCTAGTTAAAGCCATTCGCAATAAAAATAGCAATAATTACGAACTGTATCGCCAAGACCAAACAAAAATTAGTGGTGCGCTGCCAGCCTATTCAAAAGTTTTTTTGGGATATGGCTCCTTGCCTCTGGTGAGACATGTAGCACAGCCATTTCATACCACATGCAGAATATGAGATCACTCCCCCGCACATTTTAACACAGGCAACGACCTCACCCTTTCCCCCAGGATAACAACCCGTCCAGGAAGCTTCAGTAAGTGTTTATTATGTCCTCACCTAACCCCTGTCAACAACAAAATACGCATTCAAACAACCGTTCTATGACACTTATGTAGATCTTGGTGCCTTCTTTGCTCAAGATACTCCCTGTTGTTTTAGCTTAGCAGGAAATTTGTCTAATATATGTCTTATCAGTGGTCGTTCAGTCTGTAACAAAATAAGTTTGGTCATGTTTGCGACTCTTTATCAACCATCACTTATAACGATAACTGAGGCATGGATTACCAGTAATATTTTAGATGTAAGCATATCTCTTAAAAACTATAATCTAGTTCGAAGTGATAGGCTACATGGACGAGGTTGATGTTGTCTCATATAAGCTCACTCTTCCGTGATATTTCGAGTAAAAGAGAAATGTCTCCAAAAGATCAAAATCTGCAAACCCTATGTCAGATCAATCTTCACTAAGTATTCCAATGGTGAAACTCGTAGATATAAGGGATAATATACTCAAGTATACCGAAACTTCTACACAGAATAAACTTCAGCATAATCTTGTGAAGCCATTTTCTGGAAGTTCACAAACCAAGTAGTTGAATGCTCCATCCGAAACCGTTAATAGTAGTAATAACCACGGCAGCGAGATACGACAGTTTGAAAACTGACTTGCCCAAATTAACGATAAGCTTAACCTGTTAGCACCCCTCATGCACTTATGGGCCCAGAGTAATGATTGGAACCTTGAAGAATTAGCCATAGGGGAATATATCCTAGATTTTGTAGCTGAGGAAGTTACGAAAAGAATAATGTCTTCCTGAAATGCGATTGCATATAACCTCCCTGACCGCACATCCTCGACTTCGCTAAAGGATCTCTGTCTATAAGCGTGTGGAATGGAAAACGTCAGTTGTCAAGTCACACGCCTGAGAAAAAAGTCGGACAAATCAACTTGCCCCCTTCTGTTCAAATTTGGCGACATATAGCTCAAGCCATTTCATACCGCATACAGAATATAAAAGCACTCTCCTCGCACAATCTCAAACAGACAACATTTCTCCCTTTCCCCGGGCTAAAAACCCCTCCTATGGATTCCAGTAATTTACCTAACATGTCCCCCCTAACTCCTCATACCACACTCACGTA